TTGTCAGCAAACCATCATTTTTACAAAACCAAAGGAGGGAAAGGCCCTGGCCACACCATTTGACAAGACGTTGGGCAGGAATGGCCTGTGGAGTTCCTTATTTCTTTACTTTTATCAAGCAGTCACAACATTAAAAAAAAAATGTCCCGTCCCTTTATCCACTACACAAACACTTGTACACACTAACACCTCCCTAACAGAACTGCTCTGCAAGCTGTTTTTCAGTGCTAGGGCTCAAACCCAGGAGTCTGGCCAGGCTATACACACACACACACACTCTCTCTCTCTCTCTCTCTCTCACACACACACACACACACACACACACACACATACAAATATGGGTGTCACTAAGCGCCTGAGCTAGAGCTTCAGAATGTTTGGTTTTGTGATGCTGGGTATGGAACCATGGGCCTTGTGCATTGTATGTGCGTGTATCCTGGGGCTTGAACTCACAGCCTAGGTGGTGTCCCTGAGCTTTTTGCGCTCAAGGCTAGCATTCCACCACTTAGAGCCACAGCACCACTTCTGGTTTTCTGGTGGGTCATTGGCCATGAGTCTCCCCCAGACTCGGCTGGCTTTGAAGGAGGCATCGCCCCTTCGTCTTTCAGCAAGCAGTGAGCGCACGCACGTGTGGGTGCAGTAGGCATGGAACAGCTCCATCACTTTCAAGATGGCAGCCACCTTTATACTGACTACTGGCACTGCCAGCCTGGGCACAGTAAAAGAGGACCGCTGTGAAACATGTCCTGTTGTGACACAGATTCAGAATCTTCTGAGAGTAACACATCTGCCCGGCTCTCTTCTCCCCTTCAGCACCCTTTACCTGTTCACTTAACAGCTGCTTATCAAGCACTCACCGTGCTGGCACCGCGCCAGGGAGGCCTCGGGCTGCCAAAGCCAAGAAGACACACGGTCCCCATCCTCCTTAATTGAGGAGGATGAAGCTGGGCAAAGAATCACAGGAACATGTGAAACTGTATCAAGGGGCCACTGGCTACTGTTACCAAAGCAAGAGGTGCAGGGTGTCTGCTATGTGTGGGGAAGATTTCAGAGGCTGCTACAGAACAGAGGATGGAGGAACAAGTAGGAACTCACAAGGGAGAAGTCCAGGAGGCATGGAAGAGCGTCCTGTAGACGCATGGCTGGTACAATCTGTGAGAAGCGGCTGGAGGGGTGCCATGACAAGGCTGACTGCCAGGCTGGGGGAGGTGGATGGGGGGCGGGGACTCAGGAGGAGCAGGAACAACACTTGGGAGAAGTTTGGAACAGGAAAGTGCAAGAACTGGAGAATGGGAGGAAGCTGGACACCGGTGGCTCACGCCTGTCAGCCTAGCTGCTCAGCAGGCTGACATCTGAGGATCGCAGTTCAAAGCCAGCCCAGGTAGGAAAGTCTGTGACACTTATCTACAATAAACCACCAGAAAACTGGAAATGGCACTGTGGCTCAAGTAGCAGAGTGCTCATCTTGAGCTGAAAAGCTGAGGGACAGCACCCAGGCCCAGAGTTCAAGACCCATGACTGACCAAAAAAAAAAAAAGGCTGAGATGTGAGGATCATAAATCCAAGGAACTCTCATCTCCAATTAACTAATGTGGATGTGGTTCAAGCAGTAGAACCCCAGCCTTGAATGAAAACACCAGGTCCTAAGTTCAAGCCTAGGACTGGTACACACACATTCAACAACAACAGCAACAATTATTATTATTATTAATAGCATTCACGGCATTTGTGAATTATTTCATTTCTCAAGATGTCTATGGGAGAACAGCGCTCTTCCAACAAGCCCTCTCAGTGCAGCAGAACTCAGCCTGCACTCCGCATCACCTTCCCGTGCAACGCACGCATCTCCGTCTCTCCCTCCACCAGTCTGCACTTACCTGAGATGAACAGGGAGCACGCGCTGCACCCTCAGCCCTCAAATATCAGAAGAGGATGCAAACCCAGCCAGCTACTTCTGAGCCTCCTCACGGCTTCCAGTGCAGGAAGGTAGCTCTATAGTCCCTTGTGATCATCTACCTTGACCTGCAGCTTTGCTGAGGCCTGCAAACCCTCAAAACTCAAGTGTTTCCAGAAGCTTCATCCCTAACCTCTGGCCCCAGCTATTTAGTCTTCTTAAAACTGTTTGAGCAATTAATCTTTTGCTATTCTTAAAAGTTTAAACTAAGCCGGGTGCTGGTGGCTCATGCCTGTAATCCCAGCTACTCAGGAGGCTGAGATCTGAGGATCAAGGTTCAAAGCCAGCCCGGGCAGGAGAGACCGTGAGACTCCTATCTCCCAATAAACCACCAGAAAACCGGAAGTGGCGCTGTAGCTCAAGTGGTAGAGCGCTAGCCTTGAGCCGAAGAGCTGAGGGACAGCGCCCAGACTGAGTTCAAGCCCCACGACCGATCAAAAAACAAAAAAAAAAGTTTAAACTAGAGCTGGGTACAGGCAACTCATTTCTATAATCCTAGCTACTAAGAAGACTGGATCTAAGTCAGCCCAAGCAGAACAGTCCATGAGATTTTAAATCTCCAGTTAACCAGAAAAATACCAGAAGTGGATGTGTGGCTCAAGTGGGAGTGCCAGCGAAGAGCTGAAAAAGCGAAGCAAGTATTCTAGGCTCTGAGCTCCCAGGATCAGCTTTAAGAAAAACAGTCAAAGAAGCCAACTATCAAATTAGAATCTTATGGTCTACAGACCTATGTAAAAATCTGTTAATGAGCAGAAGTGAAATTCTTGAACAAATGTATGACATTAAATTCCGGACACAGGCAAATGCATTATGAGTGCTACCTCACTCTGCAAACCCCAAGTCCAGTATTCTTTGACTACAAACTTTCTTCACTCCAGGGAGGTAGGTTTAGCTACTGAAAAACTTAAAGGTAGCAAGTCAGATAAAGAAATCTCCTCTAAACCTTACAGAGGTTTTATCAAAGGTTTGGATGAACTCCACAATATAGCCTAGCACTTGGGGCTCACCTGTAATCCTAGCTACTCAGGAAGCTGAGATCTGAGTGAGGATCACCTTTTGAAGCCAGCCAGCCCCAGGGCAAGAAAGTCCTAGAGACTCTCACCTCCACCAGCAAACAGCCGGAAGTGGAGCTGGGGGCTCACGTGGTAGTGAAAAAAGACCAGCAGGAGTGCCAGGCTCTGAGTTCAAGTCCCAGTACCGGAACAACCATCCCTCCCCCCCCCCAGCAAACCACGTGTCCACCTTTCCTAAGACGGCTACTGCATTCCTCCACAGGCCCTGGTCAAGATCATCGGCTGCGTTTCTGCCACCAGACACAGATTCAGACTTTGGCGAAATAAAACTGCTTCATGGAAGGAAATTTTAAAAAGGCACACAACGAAGCCTCACCTATCTCGTCCAGGGAACCAAACTAATGAGGACGAAGCACGCGCCAGCCTAGGCGCCGCGGTTTCCGGGCGCGTTTCCCGGGCGGCCGCCCGTCGGGCCCCCCGCGGGGCGGCGGCTGCCCCCCGGGTTGGGCCGGGCGCTGCGGAGGAAAGCCCTCCTCTACCCGGAATTTGTGTCGGGGGGTGTATTATTACGAATTATTATTATTAATGGTTGGGGAAGGAGGCGAGTGGGTGGTGAAAATGGGGAGCTCAGCCTGGACGCCGATGTCACGCAACGGCTCCGGCTTCCCCGCACCTTTCTCCCCGCAGCGCGATGCGGGTCCGGCGGTTTCTCGGGACAGTAAAAAAAAAAAAAAACACCTCCATTAAAGACGCAGGGGGCTGGGCGGGGTGCAGGAGGTGAACCCCGGGGACTGGCAGGGCGGGCCGGGTCCCGAGGGCCCCGGGCCCGCACGCGGCCGGCGTG